GAGGGCCGTGGGCAATCCCTGAGGAGGGGGAGAAGCAGGACTGGCAGAGAGGCCCGATGTGGCAGTTAGTAGGGTGAGGCCTGGTTTCTGGGGGATTCTGTAGATGGAGGTGTTGTTAACCAGGACAAGGATAGCCAGAAGGAGCAGCAGGCTAGTTTTGGTCATGCTGAGTCTGATGCCCCGGGCAAGCCCTCGGTGGACAGCTGGATGTGTGGATCTGTTGCCAGGAGAAAGATAGGAGCTGGAAACACCGATCTGGGTGTCCTTGGTGCTGGACATCTAATGTGAATGAGCTCTCCCAGAGGCAGTGTGTCCCTGAAGAGAGAAAAGGACTCTGGGGCAACACCAGAGCCTAGAAGATGCGCAGGGGAAGAGCAGCAGAGCCGGGACTTTCCTCCTCTACACTGAGGTTCTCCTCAAAGCCTCCCCCAGTGGAGACCCCTTCATGGAGCTCCACCAGCTTTCCGCCCATACAACCGCCCCCTGCCCATGGGAATGGGCCTTCCCTCCTCATGTTTAATAGCATTGGATCCTTGACCACCAACACTGCCCCTACGCACACACATACACACCAGGACTCAATAAATACTGAGTGAGGGGTGGGAGTGAAGAAGGAGGGCTGAGTGATGCAGGCTTTGCATTGTTGACACCTAGCATCTCTCCGGCACACAGTGGGTTCCTGATAAAGTAACTTTTTAAGAAAAATTGGAGTATATCTACTTTAAATGTTGTCTTAGTTTCTGCTGTACAACAAAGTGAATCAGCTATAAGTTACACATATCCCTACCTCTTGAACCAACCTCCCACCCCACTCCCCATCCCTCCTATCTAGGTCATCACAGATCCCTGAGCAGTGCAGCCGCTTCCCACTCGCTGTCTATCTCACTCATGTATATATGTCAGTCCCAATGTCCCACTTCATCCCCATCCCTTCTCCCCTCCCCATGTTCACAAGTCTACTCTCTACATCTGCATCTCTATTCCTGTCCTGCAAACAGGTTCATCCATACCACTTTTTATTAGATTCCACATATATGTATTAATCGGAGAAGGCAATGGCAACCCACTCCAGTACTCTTGCCTAGAAAATCCCATGGATGGAGGAGCCTGGTAGGCTGCAGTCCATGGGGTCACAGAGAGTTCGGACACGACTGAGAAACTTCACTTTCACTTTTCACTTTCATGCACTGGAGAAGGAAATGGCAACCCACTCCAGTATTCTTGCCTGGAGAATCCCAGGGACAGGGGAGCCTGGTGGGCTGCCGTCTCTGGGGTCGCACAGAGTTGGACACGACTGAAGTGACTTAGCAGCAGCAGCAGCAGTATGTGTTAATGTATATTTGCTTTTCTCTTCCTGACTTCACTCTGTATAGCAGACTCCAAGTCCATTCACATCTCTACAAAATGACCCATTTCATTCCTTTCTATGGCTGAGTAGTATTCCTTTGTGTATATGTACCACATCTTCTTTATCCATTCATCATCGATTCATCATCTAGGTTGCTTCTATGTCCTGGCTGTTATACATAGTACTGCAATGGATATTGGGATGCATGTTCCTTTTTACATTATGGTTTTCTCAAGGTGTATGCCCAGTAGTGGAATTGCTGGGTCATATGGTAGTTCCATTTTTAGTTTTTTAAGGAACCTCCATACCATTGTTCATAGTGGCTGTATCAATTTACATTGCCACCAACAGGGTAAGAGGGTTCCCTTTTCTCCACACCCTCTTAGCATTTGTTGCCTGTAAATTTCAGAATGGCTGTCAGTTCTGACTAATGTGAGTTGGTACCTCATTGTACTTTTGATTTGCACTTCTCTGATAGTGATGTTAAACATCTTTTCATGTGTTTGTTGGCCACCCGTTTGTCTTCTTTGGAGAAATAGGCCATTTAAGTCTTCTCATTTTTTGATTGGGTTGCTTGTTGTTTTGATATTGAGCTACATGAGTATCTCTTAATGCCATCTGACTCACTTAAAAAAATTACCTGTTCCAGTAAAGAAAAACTCAACAAATCACCCCAAACCCAAACACCTAGGATTAACCTGACCTTTATTTTAGGTTTCTTTTTATGTATATATTCAGAAAAAAGGCTAAATGGATGGGTGTGTGGACAATGGATAGAAAGATAGCAGTTTTATAAAAAGATGACCATACCATATTTACTATTTTAAAATGAAAAGCATGAAATGTAATCTAACTCAAACTCAACTGAAGAGAAAGATACTGAAGTAAAATCGAAGAACAGACTTTAGATAAATGCTAATTCATCACAAGAGATATTTGTTTCTAAAAGTTCCCTCTAACAGAGAACAGGAGAGGGAGAGAGAATAAAACCCATTATGGGGTTAGAGTAATTATGTTATTTTTACCAATGTGTTTCAATTTTAGATGCCATGGGTTGACTGTGCTTTAAAAATCCTAAATGCACTCCCATCTCCCTTCCACCCACCCCTCAATTTTTCTTACTTAAATTATTTTTTCCTTTGACAGGTTTTATAACATTTACATTCTTTTATGCAACCAGCCTTCACCTAGTAGCTATTCCTAGTTCTGCATTTAAATAGATGCGAAGTAACCACCAGTCATTCTAACAGAGGTTCTACATTCTTGAGTATTTTTTTTTCTTTTGAATCATTGCTGATTGGCAGGATTTCATCACTGAACACTGTCTTAGAAAGAGCGTTCGGTGCTTTATTTCTGGAGTTCTTTCATGCAGCTGCCTTTCCACCTGGAGGGCTGGCCAGTTCCACATTCTCGGGTCGTGCTCTCTTCTCTGCAGAACGCTGTAGATGGGTGCTTCGTTCGTTTTCATTCTATTTATTTTCTCTGTGTTGGGATTTGGCAATACCTGGTGACAGCACCTCTTTCATCTGCTGCATTCTGAACCACTTGGGAAAGAAGCTAAAAGAGGGAAGCTGGCATTGGGGAATGGGGCTGACACTGAACCCTCGAATGAGATGGCAGGGCTGGGGCAGGCTTTCCTCCCAAGGGCAGAGTGGATTCCCCAAAATAGGGCGTGGAGAAGCAGGGTGGGCTTCCTTGCTTCCAAGCAAAGGGGGGAAGGAGAGTGGGCTTCACCCACCAGGGAGATGCTCCTCCACTTCTAACATGGAAGAGCTCCTTCCACACACAGGACTCCTTGGGTTGAAGGAAGAAGCGTCTCCCCACTGCTTGTCTTTGGCTTCTTGATTACTGAACTGATATTTTTATTACATTTCGTACACAACACAAAGAACTCTCATGGACTCTATCTCAGGTTATGCGTCTTCCCAGCGGATGATCTTCTATGACCTTAATGAAGAAGTATAAGCTCACATATGAGTGACGGGTCAGAAGTCAGGCTGAGGGAGGTCAAGAAAAGCATGAGAGCAGAAGAAATGAAGGCAGAAAGTACAGAGGATTCCCAGGAGAAATCTGGAAATGAAGGAAGAGAAAAGGTTATAAAGAGCAGCAAGGCCAAGAGTGGGATTTTGCAATCTAGGCACAGCTTTGCATGTTTGTAGGCAGAAAGGAAGACACTCAGGAAGAAGGAGAGATCTCAGGTGGCTGGGAGGATGGACAGAGGCTGAGAGAGACAGGGAGGGATGGATTGGAGGAAGGAGGCCTTGGAAGGCAGGAGGGGGCACTCCAGACCCAGGACGGGGAAGGCCATCGGCCAAGAGGAGGACTCTGTCCTGGAAGTGGCCAAGGTGATCCCACAGGCTCACAGGCACTCAGCAACCCCACTATCTTCCCAGGGCCGGAGACAAGGCTGCCAGCAGGAAACTCAGGTGGGACCAGCAGGAAGGAGGGAGGAGGGAGAGGGAGCGGACCACCGGGGTCACGGCACCCAGGGCAGAGAGAAACCCAGGGACAAGAGAGGCGAGGCTGGAGAAAGGCTGGAGTCCAGTGGGGGTGTCTCTCCTCCACGGTTGGTTCAGCAGCTCCATCACTCCCTGCTCTGGCCCTGGACAGCCTCAGATGCTGCAGGACCCCAGGAAGGTAGAGCCACGGAGGATGGATAGGACCAGAAACCCGGAAGGGCTCCTTCTATAATGCCTACAGTGGAAAGTCAATCGGAAGGTGTGTCAGTAATCACCATGCTTAACTTTCTCACCATTCACCCAAAGATGAAGCCATTTCTGTCTAACTCTAGCCCAAGACCCATTCTCCTGGTGAGGAGACTGGGGCCCCGGGGCAGCTCTCAGAGGTCACACTGAAGCACAACTTCGAAATCTGATTCCCATGCTCTCTGATGTCATTGACTCTCCTCACCCTTTCCCCAAACAAGTCTCCGTGCTCTCTGTCTGTGTGAGTTTTGCTTAACCAGGGCTCTTGAGCATGTCTGCTCTGGTCTGTGTCCCGGAGGGGCTCTGCTCCCCCCGTCCTGTCCCTTTCACTGGCCCCCTTGGTCACAGAGGGTGACAGAGCTCCAGAAGCTGGGTGAGCTCTCCAGGCCGAGTGGATGGTGCTGTGTGAGGCCGAGGTGCTGAGAGGCAGGCTGGAGGGCTGGAGCCCCGGCCATCCTGCCCTCTGACCCTTCAGCCATAACCTCGGAACCATGGAGAAGGAAATGGCAACCCACTCCAGTATTCTTGCCTGGAGAATCCCATAGACAGAGGAGCCTGACAGGCTACAGTTCATGGGATTGCAAGAGTCAGACATGACTTAGCGCCATCTTTTCCGGGGTGCAAGCGGCCTCCACACCTTCAGGTCAACCCCTCCGTCAGTGGAGGCCAGTCAAGGAGAAGCGATTTGCCTACAGCCTCGCTGAGGGGGTCAGCACTGGACCCGGGTGTCCTGGCCCTCTTGGGAGCCTCTTGTCTGGAGAGATCTCTGTGGGGAGATAGAGGCCCAGCATCTTTCTCATGTGTCCTTCCCCTAAGGCCTGAGCTGGGCGGGCACCTTAGGAAGCCTCTTGAGACCAGGAGGTGACCAGCAGGGCCCACTGACCTCGCCCCCAGTCTTTAAGGAACTGGCCTGGAGCCCTCCACCGCCCCCTGCCCTGCTCTCTCAGGTACAAAGGCCACGTTCCCAGCGTGGCCTTCTCCTTCGGCTCCCCCTACGGCACTGCCACCCTCAAGTACTTCCAGGACCAGCGCAACGCAGCCCTGGGGAGGAGTTCCACTGACTTCAGCAAAGGCGGCCACTTCCCGACCATCTTCTCCCCGAACCCCACCCAAGTGCTGAGGGACCGCGCCCTCACCTGGGACCGCTGGCTGCACACCCCCAGCTACAGCCGCTTCAACCTGGACAGCAGCCGCTGGGCCGAGCTCTCCTACTTCTACCAGGTGGGTGGTCCTGGCTGGGCTCCTGCCACCCCCCTCCCCACTTCCCCCACGTCCCCTCTCCCCTGCCATGGAGAGGGAGTGATGGCTGGTGGCCCGGGGAGACTCTCAGCCTCCAGAGCGCCTCTGTTAGCTTTTGAAGAGCCCCTGAGTCAGCAGGGAACCTGGTGAGTTTGATTGGGGAGCGTGGAGGGGCTCAGTGCTCTGCTTCTCTGACCCCCCCAAAATCTGACCTCCCCACTCTGGGGGCTCCAGTGGCTCATCCCCTGCTCCCCTGCTGCTGTGAGAGCTGGGAGCCTTCGGGGTGTTCCCACCATCACTTCCCCCCAGTCGCCGCCTCTCCCCCTGGGCCCTCACTTCCTTTCTGAGCAAAAGCCCTAAGGTTCACCCACAGTATGAATCTCGTACATTGAGGACTGCGGAGCCCCAGGCAGGCTCCAGCCCCAGGTCTACTCTTCACAGTATACCAGATCCCAGTGCCCACCCAACACCAACTCCTGCTCCACGGGCCCTTTGAGGATGAGCTTGGGCCAGGCGGTGCTAGCGGTAAAGAACCCGCCTGCCAATGCAGGAGACATAAGAGATGCAGGTTCGATCCCTGGGTGGGGAAGATCCCCTGGAGGAGGGCATGGCAACCCACTCCAGTATTCTTGCCTGAAGAATCCCATGGTTTCAGGAGAATCCCATCCTATGGAGTCCATAGGGTCGCAAAGACTCGGACACCGACTGAAGCAACTTAGGACATACGAACGCACCAAGTTGACTTCAGACACCCCTGCCCTTGGGGAAAGAGAGGCAGATGGAGGGGCGTCTGCCTACACCCCCATCCTGTCCTTATCCTGCTCCCTCAGACCTGGTCCCAGAGGGCCACAGGCTCACAGACACTCGCCCACCTCAGGGAGGCCAGGGCTCCCTCTCTGCTGTGGTCTTAGAAACCTCATGGCCCCTCAGCTCCCTTGCAAACATCCCTCCTAGCCTGGTTTCAGGGACCTGGATGCCTTCTGGTCCCCAGGGTGGAGAACGGCATGAGAAGGCTGCTTCCCCAGGAGAAATGGCCAGGTTGATGGGATCAGACTCTGAGGAGCTGTGGAACTATGCTGTGGGGCCTGGGGAAGGCCTTTACCACTGTCTTGGCTCACAAAGCATAGCCTGTCCGGGAGGGAGGGAAAGGGAGACGCTCCACTCTGGCAACCCACTCCAGTACGCTTGCCTGGAAAATCCCTTGGACAGAGGAGCCTGGCCGGCCACAGTTCATGGGTTCACAAAGAGTCGGACACACACACACACAAACACACACGCGCGCGCGCGGGCATTCAGCTTACCTGGGCCGCCTATTGGGCGGGGCCTCACATACCTCACCCTGCTGGTCCCCTGCCTCATTGACTCGACCAAAACAGCTGGCGTGGGGTGTATCATTATCGCCAGGAGCCAGATAAGGAGCTGGGGCTCAGGAGGGCACCCAGCTGGGGACTCTACTCTGGGGGCATGAGGGGAGATGACCGCAGCCCTTGTCCAGGTACAGCCGGGCAGGGAGCAGGCGCCCGCGGTCACTCCTGTGCACTAACGACCGGTCCTCTCTTCCTTGGTTGGGCTGTAGATGGCGCAGCAGCATCGGGAGCAGTATCAAGACAAGACAGGCTTGGTGCACCGGGTCCCCTACTTCATGTTGCCCATAAGGGAGTGGGACCGGTACCCCATCCCCACCGACTTGTGAGTGCCTTCCCTGCCCTCCTCCGCGCATTCACCAGCTCGTGTCCACAGGGCGCCGGCTCTTGCCAGGCCTGCAGGCCCCCAGGCTGAGAAACGAGTTAAGACTTTTAACTCCTGCAGCACACAGGGTGACGGTTAAACAGAGTTAGGGCGTGAGCCTCAGGAGGGGAGGCCAGGAATCTGAATGCGCAGAATCAGAAGATCATCTGCCTGGGCAGATGCACTGGGAATTTGGCGGCACACCGCATCATCTTTGCTGGCCTGAATCTGCAGGACCGTTCCTCTGCGATGGCAGCCTTGGAGCGACACTGGTCCAAACGCGGGCGCAGCTACTCAGTGCGGCAAGGAGCTGCTGCCCTCTGGTGGACCTATAGAGTACTACACAAAGCAGGGGACTCATCTCCAGCCCCGGTGTAGACTCGGAAGAAACGTATTCCTAGGGACTCGACCGTATTTTTCAAAGCCCAACAGTCTATCAAGAAATATGAAAGTATCTCACGGTTTTTAATTGGGAGAGCTTCTTTTCCCAGGGAAGGCCAGCTCTGCCCTGTGAGATAACCCAGGCATGTGGTTTCCTTGATCTCCCTCCTGACGCCCAGGCAGGGAGGTCTGAAGTCTGTGCCGTGAGGTGTCCTGTGGAGTAGGGGCCATCGGAAAGTTCGTGGACAGATCCTGGGTTTCCAACTCCATGCTGACCTTTGCTTGCTTCAGGAGCCCCGAATCTAGCCATTGCTGTTACTGATAAAGCAGCAACCCTTTCCATAAAATTTAATGGTTTTTGAAGATACAATTTAATTCACCAATAGATTCTTCCCAGATGGTGCTAGTGGTAAAGAACCCACCTGCCAATGCAGGAGACGTGAAACACCAGTTTGATCCCTGGATTGGGAAGATCCCTTGGAGGAGGAAATGGCAACCCACTTCAGTATTCTTGCCTGGAGAATCCCATGGACAGTGGGGCCTGGTGTGCTGCAGTCCGTGGGGTCACACAGAGTCAGATGTGACTGAAGCAGCTTAGCATGCAGAGATTCTTCTCTGTGGGACAGATGGACCCATTTTCTAAATAGGGAGACTGACGTAGTAATGGCTTCGGGGACTTGTACAGATGGCAAGTCTAGTAGGAGGTAGAACCGGAGGGGACCCAGATGGCCCAACCCCAATGCTAAGATTCTAGATTGGCCATCTCACCACTTTGGGGTGCCTCTGAGTCAGTCCATCCCTGGAGACATTGTGGGGCCTCGCCTGGGGACAAGTCTCCTCTTGAGACCTCACCAGACAGTATCTACATCTCCTACAGCTGAGGGACCCCAGGATGCCCTAGCTCTGTTCCTTCTCCAACTGCCTGACAGCCCATGCTGCTGTTGTCTAAAACAGAGCACCAATGAGGTGTTTGGGAGTAAGAGGGTCACTGCTTGCCCTCAGACTTTACTCTGATCATCTCTGTGGCCTGGGGAACATCCCTGTCCTTCCCTGAGGTTCACTGTTATTGTCCTTTTCATCACTGTCACCACCATCATCATCTCTATTTATCACTATCATCTTCATTACCATTATCATCATCATCACTACCATCACCATTACAATCATCTCTATCATCATTATCACCACCACCATCACCATTACCATTATCATCATCTTCACCACCATTAGCATCACCACTACCATCACCATCATAACCATCATCATCATCATCATCATTAGCTGCAGCACATTCTTAGAACATGTGTTGAGTGTTTGTTCCTTGTTCAGCATTCTATTAGTGCTTTGCATGCATTATTTCATTTACTCCTCAAAGCAAAGTTAGGAGGGAGGTACCAACATCCGTCCATCTTACATGTGTACACTTCTAGCAGGAACTGGGTTGGAATTCATCCCAGCTTCCTGACACCCATGCCCTTTTAACCACTGAGCTTCTGTGCAAACACAAGTCCTTCTGATCTCGAGTGCAGGGTGACTTACCAGATGCTAAGCTGACCAGCAGCCAGCAGAGCCAGCATCACGGGCTGGAAAATGGGCATTTTTCACCCTGGTGGCCAGGCTCACTGCATAACACTGGCTCCACCCTCATCCCCCAGGCCTCCTCTGAGCCCGAAGGAGAAGTGGCATCTATTAAGAGTGGCCCCTGAGAACCTGAGGACCTACCAGACATTCCCATCGGGAAAGAGGGTCTCCCCACAGGAGCGGCAGAGGCGGGACTGCTACTTTGAATTCAGAGCATGACACCTGAGAGCCGCGGCCCTGACAAGGTTGGCTTTCTGGAATAAAATCTTTAGCCATGATCATCCCATGCTCTTCTCTTCTGAGCCCCAGCAGCACTTGGCCTCAGCTGGACAGTGCCTGAGGGTCACACAGGACGGGGTCTGAAGGACCTGGGGGATGCTCACCACAGGTGTCAGCACCAAGAAAAAGCAATGTCAGCCCCCTGCTGGGCCCATCCACCTCTCCCCGGAGGTGCAGGGGTCCCAAGGCACTCAGGCAGAGTGAGCCCTCATGTCTGCTCCCACTGGGATAATCAAGGGTCCCGTTAGGCCATGACTGAGAATGAGGGTGTAGTGGTCCCGGAACACTCACACTGGTGTCAGATGCAAAGGCACTCCCACTTGAGCCCTGGCTCAGCATCCTTTCATTCACATGACAGCCTGTGAGAGAGGGAGTGGTGTCCCTACTTCACTGATAAAGACCCTGGGGCTCAGAGGTGGAGAGAGCTGTCCAAACTCATGCAGCTGGGAAGTGGCACAGCCAGGATTTGAACCCCGACCTTTCAGACTCCCAATTGCTGGTATTCCCCTTACACTCTCCACTTGTGGTCCAAGTGGGGGCTGAGGGGCAGGGATGACGCAGATCCTGGAGGGCCCTGTGGCATCTGAAGGAAGAAACCACTTTCTCCATCCTGCCCTGATGGGCAGGGACAGGCTGCTTTGGCATCACCCCAGGACTGTTTCTAGAAGTGGACAGAGGGGAAAGGACCTGAGGCCAAGTCAATCTTCAAGGTATCGCTGTGTGTCGGGAGCCCCTAGCCCAGAGTGGACACTGGGCTCCTGGTTCACATTCTGAGATGGCTGGGGAGGCTCAGGTTGTGGAGGGTGCTGCTTCCCACCTCCACCTCCTAGGTGGCCTGCTGTCTGCAGGAGAGGTCACAAGAGGCAGAGGACAGCTCCTTTAGGGGCAGGATCTAGGACAGGCACCTTGGGCCAGGCGTGTACCCATGCCTCAGGTGCATGCTGACATCCCAGCACCTCCTGGCTCTGATCAAGGGACTCCATTAAGAAAGGGCTTTTATTTCCCCTCCATGAGTGAAATGGGTTATTTCCCCAAAAGACAAGGCGACCACAGCAGGTTCAGCTTCATGGGAAGGTGAGCACAGCCCTTCCCCTATAAGCCAGTCTTTAGACACCTCCTCCCCGAAGACAGCATAAACAAGAAAAAAGAAACAAGGAAAAAGCCCATCAGGTAGGCATCCGACAGCTTTTATGGACCCCCTAAGGGGCTTCTCCTGTGCCCCAAACCAACTGGGTTCCAAAGAGTCCCTGTGGTGGCCACATTAATTCAAGGGTTTGGCTGAGTGGCAAAGCAAATAAACCCTGATTGCTGGTCACATACTGTCGTGTCCCAAGGGTGCAGGGGTCTCGAGTGGGGCCAAGATGTCTTGGGAAGCCAGGCACCAATTGGAAAGACTGCTCAGCACATAGCTCTGTACAGCCTGCACCCAAGATGCAAGAAGAGAGGCTGAAGGGAGGCCCCGTGGAAGTAAGGGAAAGATGTATATTTTCCTGGTGAACTTCAGCTGGTTTGGCTTGGTCCCTGCTGTGACATGGGTTGGCCTCAAAAAGACTGGCCATCTCAGTCTTGGCATATCTCAGATACTGGCAAACTTAAGCCCTGGAATGAGCAGTCCTTAATAAAAAGTTACTTCTATATGACCTTGCACTCAAAATATGATGTTCAGTTCAAAATATGATGAACTGTTGGGAAAAGGGAAAGGCTTTAATTTTGCTTTATTGAATAAACAATATTCTAGAAGTGAGGGAGGGATGGGGACACAGTCATTCTTCTAGTCAAATTTCCTCTAGTGCCTGCAGAGGGTTGAATTCCAAGTTCCAGGGGTCCCCTTCAAGGCCACCAGAGCAGGTATTTGTGTTCACATCAACATCCCCAGAAATGAATCCGAAAGGAGCTGAAAGAAGGGATTCCATTAGCCACCTCAAGCCTGAAGTTGTAAAGCCCCCTCTACTTCCTGGCTTCACACCTCTTGTGTCCCTTTGTCTGAACGATGGTCAGCTTGCAGCAATCCAAGCACCCCAAAGCCTTCTTTAAAGCTCCTTTGAGCAGCTCCAGAATTCTAAGGCTGTCACAACCTTGTGGTGCTGGAACCAGCGGAAAGAAAGGGGAGCGATTCAAAGAAAACACTCAAGGCAGACAGGATTCCAGCCTCAGTTGTGTGCTGGGCTGTTATAGAAGAAGAGGATCAAGTGGGGTGGTCCAAGTGTGGACCGTCTTTCTCTAAAAGAGCCCCTGAGCAGCCATGTTGGAAGGGAGGGCCATCTCCTCCAGCCAGGTGATTGGAAGAGGGCCGGACACCTGCCTGGCCAATTAGATTCTCTGGAAATTCCATCAGAGCCGAGGGACATTCACTGAGGGTCATTGGGAGCCAAAGAGCTATAAACTTGACCGCTGTGGGGAGGCCACATTTGGTCTCACGCCTGGCAAAGTAGAGATTGCTTGTTGCACATAAATCAAAGTCCAGAGCTGCTGAGGACAGAGGCAGAGACTCCGGCTCCCAACCGGGTGCTCCATGAGGTCTAGCTGGTTTTGTTCATTTTTGATTGGTTAAAGCATTTTGAATGGGCATTTGCCCTTGCTGTCACCTAGGCTGATGACAGAAACAGCAGGCAAACATGTAGTTCAGCGCAAGAAGACTGCCCTAACTGGGCTGGTCCTCATGACATGGGCTGCCTTCAGTGGTGGTGTACTTCCCCCAACCGGAGGGACCCAAATAAAACTGTTAAACACAGCCAATATGGAGATGGTCAATTGTCCACAAGTGTCTGGACCAGATGTGACCCTTGCGGCCCCTTTCCACCTGAGTCCTTCTGAGCTCCATCCCTGGCATAGTCAGTGTCCGCCCCGCCAGTGTCCTATGCCAGTCCCCAGCTCCTAGTGGCCACTGGAGGTTGTAGGGGGAGGGGAGCAGGACTAACAGTGGCAAAGGCGGCTCCCCAGGCCAGTCCTGCAGGCCAGCGGGCTTCGCATTGGCTGGAGAGGGACAGCACCTGAAGTCTGGACCACCCGCGTCGCCCCCAGTGCCTGAACCACAGTCTCCCCTTTGCCTTTTGAAACCCCACGCCCTGTCTCTTTCCAGGTTACCTCATTTCTCAAAAGTTCCAGTATTTCTGATTCTGAAAGAATCTGAAAGTGCCCTGGAAACTCAAGACCTCATTGGGAAAACTGAGGTGCTCTGCTGGCCCAAGGAGACTGGGGCCGGGGAGCTTCCTGTCCCCCCAACTAGGTTGGGCATCCCCCCGACTCCAGAACACCTTACTTCATGAAATCTGGAGATTTGGCCATCGCGTGTTCAAACTCTGAGAAAGACAGCATATTGTCGTTGTCCAGATCCGACTCATTCAAGACCTGGACAGGGGTGCAGAAGGAGCCAGAATGCAGGGAATCAGAAAGTGAGATGAGGGTGCACGGGTGGGGAGCAGGGACCACATGCTGAGTGATACCACAAGCCAGGCTGTCTGCCTGGCGCTTAGCATCCCTAGAGTCCCCTGGAGGCAGGTTCTCCGCTCCCTGCCTGCATCCCGCCCCCCCCGCCCCCCTCCCCAGTCCTGCCCCCGACAAGGACACAGAGGTGCAGAGATGAGGTTATGTGTACTGCTGTCTGGGACCTTGTGGGCTGATCTCATCATGGGCAAGAGTCCTCTTGGTGTCTCCAGCACAAACTTGGCAGTGAGAACAGAGTGGGGGTGATGGGCAGGGTGATGAAACCCACCCACTCCTGTCGCCCAGTCACAGACGGGGGTCCGCACTGCAAGGTGCAGAGTCGGGGTGGGCGGCAGCCCGGGGCCCTCATGGTTTTATTTTTGCTCCCAGTTCCCATCCAGACCAAAGAGTTCTCATGGTCTTAGGACAGATGGGCCCAGGGCTGTCTTCATGTCCTTTGGACCGTCACGTGAGGACATCTGGGCATTGTGTGGTGCTGGTACAGTGTGGGGAAGGGGACGTTGTGATGTGTCCATCTGAGGCTGAGCTGCTGTTGGCCCACCTGCCTGTAGCAGCTACCGTGTTGGTGGGAGGCCCCCTTGGATGGGGGGCTTGGGCTACTGCTCTGGGGACCCAGGAAGGGGGTCATGATCCTGGAAGGAGGACAGAAAATTGGGGGTAGTTGTTTCCAGCAAGTACGCATCCCCCAGAGCCCCTCATCGCCTGCCATCAAGAGGCCTCCGGTGTTGGCCGGACCCACACTCCCACCCCGCAGCCCTGGGCACACACATGGCTGGTGAGGTCGGTCAGCAGGTCCTCTGACATGTCGTCGCTGTTGAGCAGCCGGAGGATGATCCTCTGCAAATCCTCCTCGTCAATGAAGCCATTCTCGTTAAAATCTGCCAAGAGGAGGCGGGGCCTCAGAGGGAGGGAGTCTCGGGGCCTCAGAGGGAGGGAGTCCTGGGGCCAGGGCATCGGCTGACAACTGCAGGCTCCCACCAGCCTCTGTTGAGGCCCCAAGGAACCCAGCTCTGCCAGGTGGGCCTAGAATCTGAGACTCAGGGGGACCTGGGCAGGCCTAAGGGTGGGGAGTTGCAGCAGCAGAAGGCAGGTTCAGTTCTAGATCTCGTGATGACCATTGAATATGAAACACGCAAACCTTAGGAACTGTGTAATATCCCACATTGAAGAATGACAGCTAGAGCTAACTTGGGCGCAGAGTGGAGGAATGACTTTGTTGGTGTCACGGGGACCCTTCGGGGGTGGAGCCAAGACCTTGGTCTCTGTTTTCCAAGGAAGGGTGTGGACATAAAGGTCCAGTAGAGCACCTCACTCCTTAGGCAGGTGGCTCTCCCCTGGCTGAATGTTAATCAGCCATGGGGACTGGACGCTAAAGCCAATGATGTTCATCTAAGCGCTGCCCACACGGCTCCGCTGCGACACACCGCGGGTGATGGATCAGAGCCGGTGGGGGAGAGGCAGAGGGGCTTGGGAGGGGCCAGCGTCAGAACTGGAGGGAGTGGGGCCCCGCAGTGACCTTGCGCTGCTGGCAAGAAGCCCTGCAGCCTCTCCTGAGACCCTTCCCCCTACCTCCCGCAGTGTTTCCAGGTGTCCTGCTGGCCCAGCTCCCATATGCAGAGACTGCGGCAAAGCAACATGGCTTTGATCCCAAGCCATCTGAAAACAGAATAATTTGCTGGAGTAAAGTGTAGTCCTGGACAGTTCCCTTCCTTTGGGGGTGCCAGGGCAGAACAGCCTGGGAAAGGTCTAGGGGCTGGGAGCTCTGGGCTACCGGCCAGCCCATGTGGCCTCAGAAGTCTCATGACCCGCGTTCTTGGCCACTTTGCGGGGGGACTCTTCTTGCTATTTCCCAGCAAGGGGGGAAAGGAGAGAGCTGGTGGGCTCAGTTTTCAGGTGTCCCTCAAACTCTCTGACCATCATCATCCTGATCTGTCATGTTACTCCTCGCAATTTACAAAGTACTTTCACAAAATTAGCTCATTTGAGTGAGTGAGGTAAGGCAGGCCTTCACCACTATTCCCACGGGAACTGAGGTTGCCTCCCTCACCACTCCCAGCCACTAGCATCCCCATGTCAGGAGCTGGGAGGGTCTCGGAAGATCAGCCACTGGTGCTATGGCACCTGTCTGAGGGTAATTCATAGCTGGTGGGAGCTGTGCTGACCCGAGCAGAAAAGCAGTGCTGGGATGCTGGTCTCTGACAGGCAGAAAGTCTCCCCAGAGACACTGAGAGAAGAGGATGTATCAGGTGGAGGCCAGGACAGTCCCTCAGAGCAGAGACTGGAGGCCAGGAGGTATGTCCTGGGTAGGTGTGGCTGGCTGGATGGACTTGACCAACAGCCACTCACCCTTTCCTTCTTCCTAACAGAATTACAATTGATGTTTATGTCCAGCTTAAAATACACAGCCTTCCGGTCCCCCTTGGGGCTATGTGTGACTATGTAACAGTTCTGGCCAATGATGTTATAGCCAGTTTGCTGGGTGGTGCTTCCAGGAAAGTTTGTTAAAGAAGAGTAGACTTCATCTGTGTGTTTCAATGTCCTTTTTGTCCTTATCTCCTCTCCCATCTCTTTTTCTCCCTGACTGGGATGAGGAGATACCTGTAGGCACAGAATACATCTTGTGACTCTGAGAATGGCAGTCCCATTAAAGATGGGAGATTAGGAGGCTTGAAGGAGCCTGGGCCCTTGGTTGCCTCCTGGAGCCATTACCTCAGCTCTGGACTGCCTGAATCCAGGATTTCTTTTTTTTTTTTTCAAACAAGGATGATCTTACAAGTAACTGAATGCAGCCCTAACTGATATAGGTCAGAGCAGTAGTAACTCTTCAGCACTTTTTTTTTCCTGCTGCACTTTAGAATCCTTCAGAGAGCTTTCAAAAAGCGTACCAACCAGGGCATACCCAACACCATCACATCAAGTCTCCGCAGCTGGGGCCCAAGCAACCGTAGGTCTTGAAAACTCCCCGAGTAATTGCAATGTCGTCCATGCTGTAGTCTATGGGATCACAGAGAGTCGGACACGACTCAGCGACTGAAAAACAGCGATTCCAGTATTGGCCACGTTGGAAAATCAGTGGGTTAGAGCCATGCTTCTGAAACTTTCAGGTGCAGAGGAACCATCTGGGAATCTTGTTCGAAAGTAGATTCTGATTCAGTAAGTGGAGACTGAGGCCTGAGATTCTACATTTCGAGTAAGCTCTCTGGCAATAATGATGCTGCTGGTATCTGGTATCTAGGCCACAATTGGTGTAATGAGGGGTTAGAACATTGAGTTAGGTCTTCAGACTGGCTAAGGATGATCTCTGAGGCCATCACATCATCATCCTCTCTTCTCTTTCCTTTCTCCTTTTCTTTCCCTTCTTTTTAGTCCTCCTCTTCTTCCTTCATTCCTACCACTACCACCTCAATTTATAGAGCAGCTGTCATGGGCCAGGCACCAGGCTCAGAGATTCACATGTCCTATCTTCAATCCTGCTGACAGCTCTGTAAGGTAGCAAATCTTCTGAGCCCGAAGAGAATTCAGATTTGCCTGAGTCTAGTTGATGAAGCCTTGGAGTTTACGAGTCCCTAGGCATCTATTTGCACCACTGATTTGCATGAAGGCTCTGTGCTTTTTGCTTTTGCACTGGAGCTTAAAAAGGAAGGAAACTGTTTGAGGGGGCCCTGGAGGGGGGTAGAGGGGAGAAGATACAAGGACTGTGTAGGGGACTGGAGTGTCTGCTTCTCGATCTGATCTGAGGACCCTGCCTGACCTCTCAGGAGGGAGGACCTTCCCCCAATTCTTGAGCTGAAGATATTTGAGCTCCCATGTTTTGAGGGAACTCATCTAGTTCCCTGAAGGTTTGGTGGTTTTGTTTGTTTAGCTCTAGAAACAATGGAAAGACAGGTGAGACAGATATCTTTTGGAACATCTGCCCAGCCTACACTACCATCTCTGGGCAGCATCTCAACTCCCAGTGGTTGGCCTCAGAAGCCACGTTTGTTCATGTGACTCTGCTTCCTCTTGGTTGTGGATGACTGGACAAACTTGGTCACCTAACCCAAGCGCAGCTGGATCTCTGGTTTTGCGGAGCAAATAAGCATCTCCTGAGAAAATGGAAATGAGAGACAGAGATGCTTGTGGCCCATCAGTCAGAGTGAAGCCCATAGGTCGTGTGAAGGCTGGGATAGTCATCTTTGGTCCATAGGCACAGAGGCATAAAAATTTGGATCTGCAGAAAGAGAAGGTGCACAGAGAGAAGCAGAGATAAGAGACTAGGCAGCCACAGAGAGAAAAGGAGAACGAAGCTACCTGGTTTCCTGACCACTTTCCAGCTGCATTTGAGGCCCTCGGGAAGCCTGCTTGACTTCTGCCATGGACTCCACACTGCTTATGGTGGACAAACTCTAGTGCCTTCCTTCCCTCATGATCTGTTCTTCTTGGTGTTCTTGCTTTTGTCTAATCGACACACCCGTCTAGTGTGTGTGGGGACTTACATCTAAGCAGCAGGATTTGGCAACAGATGAGACGTCTATAATATAATATGTTATATTGCCAGCAGTCTGGCCCAAGAGGCTCCCTAGCTGTCTTGAAAGAAGCAACTGGCCTCGTTGGGAGGCCCATGTACTAGGAGCATAGATCACCCTCTGGAAACTGAGGGCAGTGTGCAGGCGGTAGCCAACAAAAGGCCAGAGCTCTAAGTTCTGTGTTGTTCAGTCGCTCAGACATGTCCATGAATTCTGCCAACAACTGGAGTGAACTTGTAAGTGGGTTCCTCCCCTGTCAATCATTCTTCAGGTGAGATTGCAGCCCAGCCAAAACCTTGATTGCAATCTTGTGAAACCCTAAGTTGAGGACCCGACCAAGCTGTGCCCAGACTCCTCACCCACAGAACTTGTGAGATTATAAGTTTGTTTCATCTAAAGCCATTAAGTTTGTGGTAACTTATTACACAGCAGTGGAAAACTAATACACTGCTGCTCTTCCTCAGTTGCCTTTTACCCAGGTAACTTCCTGTTACTTGCACGGGTAAGACAAGAGCACCTAGTTTGGGTCAGCATTTTCCACCCAAAAGAGCTGGCCCATCCAGAAGAGTACTAACCGGGGACAGGAGAGGCTACAGAGAGCACTGCACGTGCTCTGTGGTGGAAGGAAGGCCCGACGGAAATACACAGCTCGTGAACGAGAATTCTGTGGATAGCTTGGAAATCCCTGGGGACTCCCAGGAATACCTGGGGTAAGGAAGGAGGAATAATACTGAATGGACTACTAAGCCAACTGAATTTGGGTCTGTGATTTCATTTGTACTTACCCCGCTTGAGGTTCACTATAAATTTGTGTCTCACACCAAATTTAGGACATGTGGGGCCATTATTTCTTCAGATATCTTTTCTGCCCTGTTTATTCTCTCCTCTCCTTCTGAGATGTCAGTTGGATATTTGTTAGACCTTCCTCTGGTCCTACATGTCCTTCAGGATCTGTTTCTTTTTTCTCATCATATTTTTCCTCTCTGTTCTTCAGATTAGATTATATTCTATTGATCAGTCTTCAGGTTTACTGACTCTTTCCTCTCATCTTGATTCTCCTGCTAAGCCCAACTGGTGAATTTTTATTTCAGATATTTTATTTTTGAGTTCTGTATTTTCCATTTGATCCTTATAGTTTCTATTTTTCTACTGAGAATTTCTATCTTTTCATTCATTAGGAGCCCATTTTCTTTTACATCATTGGGCATGATTATAATAACTGTTTGAAGATACTTACCAGCTAATCCCAACATCTGGCTCATATCAGAGTCAGTCCTCATTCTTGGGAATGCATCATTTTTCTGTTTAAAAAATACTAAGATATTGAATAATTTTATCTTAGACATTATAAATGTTTTATGTAGAAACTGTGGATTCTGTTATATTCCTCTAAAGAGTGATGAATTTTCTATTCTAGTGGGCAACTGATTAGACTTAAGCTGCAATCCCTATCACTCAGGGACCTTGTTAAAATGCAAAGGCAGCTCAACTCTCCATTCATTCTTTCATTCTTACCTGAGCTGCTTTAAGTTCACCCTGGTATATATGGTTCAGAGGTCAGAATGAAATTTGGCTCCTTCTGGCTTTCTTTCATGGACTCTCCCTTCTTTTCACTTTTGAGGGGAAGGGTGTCCTAAACTCTCTGATTTTTCAAGTCAGAAAGAGATCAGGGTTTCTACCAGTCCTGTATGATGCCACTTACTGAAGCTCACCTTCAGGCTGGAAAAGTACAAAACTAAAAGTTGGGGGAGGAGGGTGGAGAGTCATTCATACCATTTCCTTTTTTCAGGTGTTGACTCTATGCTTTCCGTAGCCATGCAGTGCCATGAGGTAACTGATTTTTCCATTTTGTTTAGAGTTTATAGTTGCTTTCCACAGAAGCGACAGTATGGTAGGAGCTTACTCAGCTTTCCTCTGTAAGGAAACTTTTGATTTGATATGCATTTACTGGATACTAAGCCTGAAGACATATCAAATACAAAAATATCATTAAGCCCCTTTTACATGAGAGATGAGAGATTTTATAGGTTCCTCTGGCTTAAAGCCCCTTCACTCCATTCTATCCAAGTCCACTTGGCTGAGGCAGGAATTAGATGGTGTCCGCCATGTGGGGAGTGGGTGGGGGGAGCCGGTAGAAAAGGAAGACAGGCGAGATGACGAACTATACAGGCCTAAATGTACGAGTTCTTTGGCCCCAGGGGTTGTCAAGATGAGCTTGAAGCCTTGCACGTGATCTGTTTGAAGGCTTTGTTTCTTTCCTTTTGGTTCCTTTTGAGAATTTCCGGGGCCCCAGATATGTTAGGTGTTCATGAGGCTGAAGAGCAGAACTTTAGCAGAGCTTTGTGGCTCCCTGACAAGATCAGAGGCATAAAGTGTCATGGGACCTCAGAGATGATCTCTCTCAACTTGCTCATTTTTAAGATGAGGAAACCGAGGCTCTAAAAAGTAAACCATTTTGCCCAAGATTTCTCAGCTATTTGGTGGCTAAGATAGTTCCAGTGTTTAAATTTCTTAACTTTTTTATAGAACAAGCATAACCCCTTCATGCCCATATATAGTCCTCTCTTTCTCTTTCTGGCCTGCCCATGCTACTATATGGAATATCAGCACCAGTGACTCCATTTGCCTCTCTCTGGTGACATGGAAGAGAAGTCATCAGTCCATTAGAGCTGGACTTCTCAACCATTAAAAAAAAAAAAAGATCTACAGTACTTGAGAAGTATAATACCCCTCATACTCAAGTAATCCCCAATGAACAGCATCAGACCAATGCATTGATGCTGATGGATTCCAGATATGGTACTCTATGGCCCTTGTCCTACCACTCAATCCCCACAGCACCCACCATAGATGCGGAAGGCATACTCTATCTTCAGGCTGGGGCAGGCCTGCTCACTGAACACAGATGCCATGCCCAGCACATCCTCAAAGGAGAACACGTTGTTGTGAGAGAACACTCTGCAGATTCGGTCTCTGAAAGGGTTGACCTGTAGGTGGGCAGGAGGAGAAAGAGGCAGGAGGCTTGTCAGTGTCAGGTTCATGCCTCCCAGGGCCTCATTAATCTATTAGAAGCACAGTGTCCTGGGTTTGAGAAGAAAGCAAGAGCAACAACCTAAATACTGGAGTAGATGTTAGGTCAATGAGCCAGGATCATGGACATGATGGAGGGTACCTAGGATGAAGGACCACACTTAACATCACTCTCCCCACTGTTGTCTTCTGTTGTCTTCTCCTGCAGGTACTTTCCAAAGGCTCATTTTTTGGTTGGTATTCTTTTTTTTTATATTTATTAATTTGTATGTAAAATTTGGAAAATACCACCCATAATATTAAAAATGGGATAAATGTTGTTCCTGATTAACTCTCCATGTTTAACTACTATTAACCTATTGATGTAGAAGTCAGACTGACCCAGGTTTCAGTCCTGGCTTCACTGTTTACTAGTGACCATTTTACATAATCTCCAGAGCCTAAGATTTCTCATCCACAAGATCGGGTGGGATAATACTACTTAATAGACCTACTTAATAGGTCTGTTGTGAGGATTAAACAGGACAGGTTTAAAGTTGCATGTGCGTGTGTGCTCAATCGCTTCAGTCATGTCCAACTCTTTGCAGTTTTATGGACTGTAGCCTTCCAGGCTCCTCTGTCCATGGGATTCTTCAGGCAAGAATACTGGAGTGGGTTGCCATGCCCTCCTCCAGAGGATCTTCCTAACCCAGGGATTGAACGCATGTCTCTTACATCTCCTGCATTGGCAATAGGTTCTTTACCATTAGCCCCACCTGGAAAACCCTAAAGTTGCACAATAAATAACACTCAACAGATGGTAGCTCTAAGTTGGTATACAACTACTGCAAGATATTATTATAAGTTGGTATACAACTGCTACAAGATATTATAATTTGCACAGCAGTTTTGATTTTTAAACCAACTAGTTCTCAAATTTGAGTCCCAAACGAGAAAGCGTCATGTGATTTTAGAAACCCTGATTTCTCTAAAGTGGGCCGGGCCAGGGTCATTCATGAGAGGGCTCTTCTGAGCTGGCACCACAAGGTTCTAAGCCATTTCTCAACCAACTCAGTGGCAGCTCATGAAGGCCACCTTGCTGTTCTCTTTCCCGCCCCCAGGAATGGACAGGTGGGATGCGCTGTGGGGATGGGCAGATTTAAGGAGAATTAGAGGCACAGAACAATCTTGGAAATATTTAAAAGTAACGTATTCATCTTTGGCATTCTCCTCCTCCTGCTCTCTGTGTCCCTTATCCATCCCCACCTAGTGGGACTCCTTGGCCCACAATTGCTCAGAAATCCAGCCTCTGTCTCCTCTAACCTCACACTATTGCTGGTAGGCCATATCAGATCGCAGCTTTGCTTCTGGTGTCCCAGACTGACCATTGGTCACTCCCTTCTCATCAACCAAAATTCCATTTTCTTAGATGCATCTCAGCTAAGAAAGCTATCTGATTCTGCAAATTCACACAGCAGTTTCTCCATCTTCCAAAGTTTTAATTAGTGGAAACAAACCGTTAGTTGATGTTTCTAGTCCCCTTTGACTGACAAGGTATCTCTTCAAGGCTCCAGGCTTCTTGCAAAAGGAGTAGTTCCAGAGCACACGCACCGTAACAGCTCCCTCATTGGAACCCAGCCCAGCCTCAGCCTCTCTGGGCCCATGACCTTGTCTATTACTCCTTGGAGCTGGCCTAGCTTCAGCCAGTGCTTTGCTCTCTGGTTTTAATGTCTCCGCTTTGGAGACATTCGTCATGAACATTTTTGTTTTGTTTCTTTTGAACTCAGCTACAATATGAAAATCTATGGTTTAATTCCATTTGGTGTATGCACTTGAGATGGGAGAGAGGACATTCTGAGTCATCTGCCGTGACTGTGTAGATCTCTAGCTTTAATGAGCATATTGGTTATCCGAGGTCCTTCTTGAACACATGAATTGTAACTCCTGCCCTCAGAGATCCTGTTTTAGAAGATCTGAGGTACAACCCAGCATAATGGATTGAATTGCATCTCCTCCAAATTTTATATGTTGAGATTCTAACCCCGAATAGCTCAGAATGTGACCTCATTTGGAAATAGGGCCATTGCAGACGTGGTTAGTTAAGGGCGTATTAGGTCTAGGGTGGGCCCCAGACCTAACATGAATGTTGTTTTATAAAATGGGAAATCTGGACACAGAGACAGTCAGGGAGAACATCACATAAAGATGAAGGCCAAGATCTGGGTGACACAGGCACAAGTCAAGGAATGCCAAATATTGCCAGAAAACTTCTGGAATCTAGGAGAGAGGGGTGGAAAAGATTCTTCCTCCCCACTCTCAAAAGCAACCAACCTTGCATACACCTTGATCCTCAGGCTTCCAGCCTCCAGCTAGTGAGACAACACGTTTCTGTCTAATCTACATAGTTGTGATACTTTGTGATGGCAGCCTTAGTAAACCAATACACTGAGAGATCTGCATTGTAAATAAGATTTTCAATTGACAGGATTAATCTCATATATATACTTAAATTTGTTTCAGGAGTGGCCAGAGTCCAGGTGAATCGGGGCTGTGCTGCTAGGTCTTTCAAACTAGCTCCTGTTTCCTCTGTCTATTCACCTCCATGCTCCCTAGAAAGCTTGGTTTGCCTGCCTCAAATGGATCCTGATAAGAGCCATCTAGTGTGATATATTCCAGGTCACATGCACGTAGCTAAGTGGCTTTACAGATTACTTTGCCAAATTGTAACTAAATTAACTCTCACAAATGGATAGGTGGCTTAACAAGATTCCTGCAAGGAAACCACAATTGAAGATAATGCTTACAATGCAGATGCAAGTGAACAAGAAAATGTCAGGTCAGATACCTCTCGTACTTATAATGGGAATTCTTCTCTATGAGGTAGAAACAATGAGAATCCAATCAGATGTAATGGGAGGTCCTATCTCCAGTTCTGTTCTCCTGCACTCAGATCAATAAGCCCACTACCTAAGCATCTATCCAACCATGGGATGAGATACCAACCCTTCCCTGGGGTTGCCCCTATTACTTGGCTTTACTGGGAGTCATGGGGATTGTTGTTGTTCAGTTGCTCAGTTGTGTCCGACTCTCTGAGACCCCATGAGCTGCAGTACGCCAGGCTTCCCTGTCCTTCACCATCTCCTGGAGCTTGCTCAGACTCAAGTCCATTGAGTCGGTGATGCCATTCAACCACCTCTGTTGTCCTCTTCTCCTGCCTTCAATCTTTTCTAGCATCAGAATCTTTTCTAATGAGTCAACTCTTTGCATGAGGTGGCCAAAGTATTGGAGCTTCAGCTTCAGCATCAGTCCTTCCAATGAATATTCAGGGTTGATTTCCTTTAGGATTGACTGGTTTGATCTCCTTGTAGTCCAAGGGACTCTCAAGAGTCTTCGAAGCATCGATTCTTCAACACTCAGCCTTTTTTATGATCCAACTCTCACACCCATATATGACTACTGGAAAAACCATAGCTTTGACCAGATGGACCTTTGTTGACAAAGTTATGTCTTTGCTTTTCAATATGCTGTCTAGGTTTGCCATAGCTTTTCTTCCAAGGAACAAGCGTCTTCTAATTTCACGGTTGCAATCACCATCTGCAGTGATTTTGGAATCCAAGAAATAAAGTCTGTCACTGTTTCCATTGTTTCCCCATCTATTTGCCATGAAGTGATGGGACTGGATGCCATGATCTTAGCTTTTTGAATGTTGAGTTTTAAGCCAGCTTTTTCACCCTCCTCTTTCACCTTCATCAAGAGGCTCTTTAGTTTCTCTTTGTTTCCTGTTATAAGGGTGATGTCATCTGCATATCTGATGTTATTGACATTTCCCCCGGCAATCTTGATTTCACATGTGCTTCATCCAGCTCAGCATTTCGCATGATGTGCTCTGCATATAAGTTAAATAAACAGGGTGACCAGTGAACCAGTTTATTGTTCCATGTCTGGTTCTGTTGCTTCTTGACCTGCTTTCAGGTTTCTCAGGAGGCAAGTAAGGTGGTCTGGTATTCCCATCTCTTTTAGAATTTTCCACAGCTTGTTGTGATCCACACAAAGGCTTTAGAATAGTCTATGAAGCAGAAGTAGTAGTTTTTCCTGGAATTACTGGGAGTGATGGGGGAGGAAGAATAATTGCCAGGAAGTCAATTCATTCCCCTTTAAACCCATATCACATGACTATTATCCACCTACACACCCACCCCCACCCCTACCCCTACCCCCCAACCACACACCTTGTCTCGTAGAGACTGGGAAGATGGCTGTTGGTGTGGTAGCAAAATCAGTACATGAACACAACGTGATGACCACAGATTCTATTGGAAGATGCAGAGGAAGTCTTGCTGAAGGTGTACAGAAATATGCATTCGAACAAATTTCACAAAATGTATTAAATAGTTGAAGAAAAAGTGGCTGTTTCTAACATGGTGTTCCTGGATTCTGTTTCAATAATGAAACACATGAGGAACCACATTTTTGTAAGCCACTAAAGGGAAGAGGCAATGTGTACTGAACAGTACATTACTTCCTTAATAAAGACATCATTTATGAGAAAATTTGTCTGAGTGTAATCACTGATAGAGTGGCTGCTTCCTGATGAAAATGGATTCTGGGTAGGGGTGCAAGGATGATGATACATGTGAAACTACTCCCTGCAGAATTTCCTTCAGGCTACTGTAGTCAAGAGCTCAAATTCAGATATATACAAGTGCTGTGGGATGCATTGGTGTGATCAGTTTTTTTTTTAATATAGTAAAACTTATAAAATGATTTATAATCAGAAGGAAAATGACTATGAAAATCTTTTGAACCACCCAGAGGCTTGTTGGTTATCTTCTGGCAGTGCACTTAAAATAGTCATCAGAGTTACAGAGGATGTATTCTTGTACAAAAAGACAAGTGTTTGAAATTTGCTGAGCTTTTTCTGAGGACAAGTGGCTGTTGGCAGTTTGCTACCTCGGAGATGTCCACCAAAATATGAACT